AAAACAACTTTAAAATTGAAAGCAGGCTGTGATGATAGTGTTATTGAAGCTATTATAATACATTATCTCATCTGTTTGTATTGATATACTGTATGTTGCAATACTGCAACAGTGCTGTGTTTCCAACACTAAACAGGATTACTGTGACAGTGAGAGGTTGGAGGGGGGAAGCAGAGACAGACAGGGGAGAGAGAGAAGCCCCTAAGTGAGTCTTTCATTTGTATGCCAGTGGATGGCTGAGAGGCGTGTTGTTAAAAGATAAGGACTGGCCTCTGAGGCCACTGAAGACTAACAGAGGGCCTGGCACTGCATGTTACAACAGCAGTATCACAGCCGCTCCACTGTGCTCTACAATACCACTGTAACAGATAGGATGCCACTGACACCCAGAGCAGGCATTTCAGGCGCTGGATTTGTTAGCCCGCACACTGTACTAAATCCAAATGAGTTCAACAACACACTGTCCTCACATTATGAACTTTGTAGAGAACTGCACATGCTGCATGGCCTGTGCTAAAATTCAAAAGGTGTCATAAAAGCAAACAACAAAGTGAGAAAATTAAGCAAATCAAAAAGAAGAAGAAAAGCCTTGTTCTTTCCAGACGACTTTAGTACGATACCATCTGTTCAAAGATAAATGTCGCGCCTCCGCACAGCTGTGCCACACAATGCTCTTAACTTCTTAACAATAAAAGGAAAATAACACCCCATGATATTGCTCAAAGAAAACAAATAATCCAGTATTTGTAACCCTTGGTCATCTGTCTTGGTCTCAAAATTTGTCAAAGCCATGTGTCATTTATTCGGCTCTTCCTGCCAGCATATTTCAGAAAGCTGAAGAGGCTGAAATTTGCTGAAACTTTTCCGCTGCAGCGGTAGAAATACTACTCAAGCTATCAGATTGAGGATGCCAAAAAGTTGGCTCATGCATCAAGCTGAAGTATTACTATCCTGCGTTACGCCTGACAAATGTCTTAGCTTCCCTTTCTTTACCACCTTTGGTCTTGATCTTGGTTTTAAATAAAGCTTATTCACATCAGTCAGGTATTATCAGGGGTATTCATGTCATTAATGAATTAGTCCAGCAGAAACACAATTACACTGCAAAATGAAATTCAATATCACTTCCTCTGATGCAACAAGCTGTACTGGACTGTACTTGCGTATCCTGTGCAGACTCATGGGGAGCCGGAACCTATCCAACAAGGGTACATCCTGTACAGGTCACCAGTCTATCACTAGGCTAACACATAGACAGCCATTCACACCCACATTCACACCTGCAATCTATCACCAGTATACCCAACCTGCATGTCTTTGGACTGTGGGAATAAACCAGACCATCAGAAGGAACCCACACAGACACTTTGAGAACAATACACAGAATGGCCATGGTTTGCTAGGAGGTTCCAACTGAATTTTACGGGGTTTTTACAATCACATAAATTCTGAAATCAGTTTATTGAGTGTCATGGTTTTCCCTGATGCCTCCCATTCCTATGCTGATATTTCGGGAACAGGGCGACTGATGGCCGATACATAATGCTGATGGCCGATATATAATTCCATCAAAACAGGTCATTAAATTATTAAAGTTATGTATAATTCCATAATTCCATGCTTTAGCCACTAATACATTGTGTTTGATAGAATTTGTATGAATTATTGAAACAGAAAAATACATTGGGTTATGCTGTAGATTTCAGAATGGGACTGGTTTTTAGGGGGGGTGGAGTACAGTTTGTCGGAAGGGATGGTTTTAGATTAGATATGATGTCATTTAGGATGGGAGAAAAGTGTTAACACTTAGAGAAGATGATGTTGACTGAGGAAATTTAGGCAAAAGGTTACAGCAGGATGCATGAGAGTTATAGCACAAGGCTCGAAACTAACTTTTTCACCACCTGCCCAAAGCTTACAAAGAGGAGCACTAACATTGTTCCACAACAGCCACAGTTACAAGGCTGTCTGCAGATTTCTTGTTTATTGGCCTTGTGAGCGCAGGCATCAGCTGATGCCGATTATCTCAAAATGCGAGATAATCAGCGAACCAATTAATCAGCCTATCTATACTGAATGCTAACATCAGCATGCCAACATGCTCACAATGACAATGGTACCATACTGATGCCTAGCAGGTATGTTTAACATGTTCAGTATCTTAGTTCAGCGTGTTAGTTTGCTAAAGGTTGCCAATTAGCAAAAACTCAAGTGCAGCTGAGGCTGAAGGCAATATCAGTAGTTCTGCAGGTACTTACTCATAAACCAATGTACTGGACAAAGTAAAAAATATGATGGTGCTACATGAAAAGTCAGAGGGTCACAAAAGCCATTCAGATTTGGTACCAAAATTCCTGGCAATCCATCTTGGAGACGTTAAAATATTTCACTGGGTAAGTGAACAATCTGACCTGCTGGTGGCGCTATATGAAAAGTCAAAGGATCACCAAAGTCATTAGGATTCATTGTCCGGGTATCATTAATATTTGTACTAAATGGAAATGATTCCAATATTTGCTGAGATATTTCAATCCTGACCACATCTCAACATTTCCATCTCTACAGTCACACTGGTAGGATGGCTAATAGAAATAGGAGGAAAAAAATTATTTGTGCTACAAAAACAAATCACAGCTGAATTCATATACAAATAGGGAATTCCTAAAGTGTCTAACCTGTAGTGGAAATTACACATGATTCGATTGACATTTGCAGGAGATAAAAATAAATGAATTTTCTCTCCAATTATTACAAATCACAGGTTTTGTCCCATGTGAATAGGTTTCAATCTTATCTTCATGACTGGTCTCGCCTGCCACACCAGTTGGATGCAGCTTCTTTATTACTGTATCTGAAATATTTTTCCCAACCATTACACCCAATTTAGATTAAACCGGCTACAAGGACAACGCCATAGAGAACACGATTCAATTAACAATGCTTGGCTCTCAACAGGGCTGGACATGCGGAGAAGAGCCTGAGGGGGATGACTTTTTTTTTTTTATGCCACCACAGTCAGCAAGGACCCAGAATGCTCAGAATGGATTACTGTATCTGGAGGATTTAACATAAACAATACCAACCCACGTGTATTGCACATTTCTCGGTCTTCTCACCCAAAGGAATTAAGCTTTCTGTGTGAACAGAAACAAACACAGTTGCACTTACATATAGCTCCAGATTTAGCATGAAAGTGAAGTTCTGTTACTTTGATTAGCCTCCTTGGATTTCATATTGGCAAATGCACAAAAACCACCACATGCAGCCTCATTTCTGTAAAGAGTATTACATCATGTTTAATTCTTCTCCAATGGGATTAGCAGCAGGTAAACGGGGATCTCAATGCACCTAATGAATTACATGAAATGAGATTTGGCTGCAATCATAGTAACCATTCAAGACTGATGGGGCTGCCAAGCCTGGATCATGGGATAATAACATTTCTGTGATTTTGTTTGGCAACAATTGGATTCAGAGTAATTTAATACTGATACAAACAGAAGCTTTAACAGGGATGGATTATGTAAACCAAAACCATCCAGACAAAGATACTATACACCCATGTGTCACCATGACAAAATCACCAAGATGTAACTAAGGTCTGTCTGAACAAGAGAGAGGAAGAAAACCCCTCCGGCTGAACAAATGTTTTGCCCCATGGCTATGCTGCGCAGCAAAAAAGGCAACAATGGGAACATGCATATGAGTGAATGTGATAAATGAAGGCAACAAATGTGAACAAGAAACATCTCCTTGTCATTTCATTGATGAATACAAGTGCCTATTTGTCAGTGCCCGACGGAGAACACTTGTCCTGGGATGGTGATGCAGTCAGATAATACAGAGTCAAACTCATTCAGCTTCTAATTTGCAGCGATGTGGTTAGATTTATCATCCGGCAGATGTTGGGGGTCTTTTTTTTCTTCACCCAGATACACAGGTGCAGGTGTTGGGGGATGCAGTTTACAACTGTGACAATGATGGGAAACAGCTGGTCCAGGAGTCATTCTCTACGACCTCCACACATTTGAATTGTGACCTCTGAATAAACCTGTCAGATGTGGTTAGGTATGGGCTGCTGGGGCAATTTTCCAATGCGGGCCACCTCCCTCTCTCCTTCTATCTGCTAAATATGCGATGTTGATGCCGGAGTCCCTCGGGAACTTGCCTTGACAGTGCGGCAGGAGACTCTCTTGGCAAACGCACAAAGGCTCTGACTCTAAGCCTAATATATTCATCTCTGGTAGCTGTTGATATTACAGCCAGGCTCCCATAAGACTATGCAGGTAAGGTACAAGACCGAATCACAATAACAAATTCACACTCTTTATGCTGACACTCATGTAGCAAGACAAATAACTAACTACAATGGACTATTTAGTGCTGCATGCATGTTTGAGTTCAACTCACACAGGCTGACACTCACACACAGGTTCCCACAGCCCAAAACAAGTCGATTTTCTTGTTTAGGCCAAACCCCAAAGATATCCACAATAGATGTAAAACTGAGAAAAAAATAAAACTGAGAAAAGTCTCACATATAGAAAACTGGAATGAGCAAATGTTTTTTCTTGACAAATGACTTAAATTAACTTTTTAACTCTCCTAAATCAGTGAGTCCTCAATCTTTTTGTGTTAAGGACCCCCAAATTGCACACACATGTCAGGAAAGACCAGACCATCATGCTAGTATTTGATAAGCTGTAGTGTCGGGGATCAACGTCTGATAAGATTTAGTTATTCCATAACTGTCTACGCTGCAGATTGGAAACCTATAGACAGAATAGTCATTCTGATACATTCTCTCATTGGACTAAATTTTAACCAGCCAACGAAATAACAGAGAAATTAAAATACTCCCCATCTTTCTGGGGACACCTGGAACCCCCTCAAGGACCCCTGGTTGAGAATCACAAGACTGAATGACAAGTAGCCTTATCCCAATCTTAGTGTGTCTTGGTGTTGGCCGATTTTTGGGTACAGAGTTTTAATATACTCACATATTCGCCGTATGTATCCTGAACTATGGGAGGAGCTGGCCGGTATCCGGCGGTTGGAGGTGCGCCTCTGGCTCTCTGAACCCCCCTCCCTCTGGAAGATGGAGCCCGGCTAGGTGGGGCTCCTCTGGGTGCTGCTCCTCGGGGCACCGCCGCATGCAGGGGAGGAACTCCTCCTCGAGTCCTGACACAAGACACAAACATCCACCCAGGTTTAGATGAAAGAGCAGAAACTCAAACATATATATTTTACTTTTTTGAGGAGAATGTGACAAATTCTGTGGATTGTTAGAGGGAGAAATGGATATGTGTGTATAGTTGGGATGGATCTGGTAACATACAGTATTTCTCCTTTCGACACAACATGTTCAGATGATCTTAAAGCATTAAAAGATACTGTTACAAGGATAGTATTATATATCACCAATATGAGATGTCCACTGCATTCTAGATCTTTATGATGAGGTGCTGTAATTTATTATGTTTGGAGTCAAGCTGCCTCGTCTACTTCCACTCCAGTTAATGATTTCCTACATCGGCTAGAATTGACTTGGTGCAACCGGAGCGATGAATTTGATACATTCAGCGGCAGGTTAGATGTGTAGGTGGAGACGGAGGAACAGCGAGGGTGGAGGGCAAGTTCCTTCAGTTGAGAAAAAGTGAGTCACGTCCATTACTCAAAACACAGCATGTCTTGTGGCTGAATTGCTTTCCTGTCTATTAAGGAAAATGCATATGAAAAAACTGATATTTCTGCCTGTTCGGTGATGGATCTTTCCTTAAGCATTTGTCGATTTTTAAAAGTTCAGACTTTATGTTCCTGAATTTTTGGCATTAATGTTTTAGATACTGTGGTGCAGGTTTTCAGATTTGATTTTACCTCTAATAGTTAGGTAAACATTAATGTCTTTTATAAAGCTTTGCTGCAAAATAGCTGCTGTGAGATACTGATCTGTACAGTTATCTAGATGAATTAACACGGAACCAAGAGTCTAACCTACACTGTAATCAAGATGGAAGAAAAGTCAAGCTGCACTGCTGGAAATCTTTAGCAGTCTGACCTTGTGGTTTGGTAACATGTTGTTTGGGCTTTTTACACCGACTGAGCTTTCTTTTAAAAGCAGTTAACTGATCTGAAGCACCAGCAGAAAAACCACCAAGGTTGCTCTCCGGGTCATTTTCTTTCAATGCATTCCATTTCAGCTGTGCGGCATCTTGTTGAAACATCACAGATCTAGGGCAGGAGGAGAAAAAAAAGAAAAGAATATCTCTAATTTTGACTAACGGGGACAGAGGAGGATGTTTACTTGATAGAAATTAGACCGCCCTCAAGCGGAGAGGAAAAAAAAAAACATTGAGTACTCAGAGAAGATTCCCCTTTAAGAGCAGGACTTCTCTTCCAGCTACAGCTCCAGTCAAAGTCAAAGGAAAGAGGACAATTTGATGGCTTCCAGAGTGTGCATCCAGAGTGCTAGTATCGAACAAAAGTAAGACATGAGTGTGGATATGTAGAAAACTGCATGCAACTTCCTGTTCAGGAGCCTGTGGGTCTTCTCTTATCACTCTCAAATTAGGCATGGTAAATTCTAATTACAGTGTGATTTAAAACACAGCCAATTATATTCTGACTCAGAGTAATACAAACACCCCATCATGGTGACCTTGTTTATCTAAAAATCTGATGAAAGAAGTGTGTTTTCTTTTATAAACACAAAGACCAAACAACACAAATCTATGTGGCTTTTCTTTTTTTTCTCCTTTAAAGCAAAGCATTGACGCAGAGTGTTAAAGTCTTCTAATGGCCATGAGTATTTATATTTGTAGTCTTGTGAGGTCTCAGAGGAGATGGAATTAGTGTAGGTTCACAGGGATAGTAGAGAGGCAAGCATCTACTGGAGATCATTTGCATATAAAGGCTTTTATGCAAATTTGACTTTGCTTTGCTAATGTTTATGGACAACAGACATTGCATCACTGTGTTCTAGACACTATTTACTACCAATTCAGTTTTTTTTATTAAAGGTACTTCCTCACTTAATGGCCAGTGTGACCTCTTTCAGCACAAGACTTCTGTGTCAGGTGAAACGTGGCAGCATAACATGGAACAAAGATTTACATTCACCAAACGTACACAGCATCAGCCCAAATCACAAAGTGTGTCTGACAAGAGAGAGACTCCCCCAAATTAAATTATGCCTCTTAAAGCAGTTTAATCAGGAGGCACTAGTTTAACAACTAGTGCTGATGATAAAATGTAAATTCGATTTTTTTTTTGCCACTCCAATCATCAATGTCAATGACCAATTTCTTGGATTGCCATAGTTGGTCAACAACACCAAGGCTGAACGTTATTATGACTTATGAGTCTTGATGCTCCTGATGGAGGGAGATGCTGGATGTCATTACCCTGACCCTCCTGGTTATATTTATGAAAAGAGATTTTGGAAACTGGTTAACTGATATCAAAATGACTGCAAACCACCAGTGTATTGCTAATTGTGAGAAGTTAAATCCGCCACGGACTACAATCAATGCATCCTTTACGATTTTCATGAAATAAAAGCGTGTTTTCGATACCATTTATAACTATTAATTAGTTTTCATTGTTAGCGCTCTGCTAGATTCATATTCCCTGCCTACACACAAAGGATTCACATTAAAGTATAAAGCACATAATGTAGCGTTGCCATTTTAAGTTTGACCTCACTGACATCGGACTCACTGTTTACTGTTCACTGTCCTAACGCCTTGAGGCTTCGCAGTTTTGTTTCCGTCCTCCGCACAGCTTAATTACCATCTAGGAGCGTTTCAGAAGTGGATTGTTTTGCCTGTTTAATGTTGTTGACTTGCTCAGATTCGTTGATTTGGTCATTTTTCCTTGATTTTTGTGCTTCTACCATGGGTAAGTAGGCTACTAAGTAAAATGGTTTTTTTGTCTGTTTTGACGTGATATACGATTTTAAGTCAGCACAGGGTGTTTTATTTTGCAAACTGACTGGACTGACTTCCTGCCTAGTTCGATCTATCTAAAAAAAAAAAGACCAGCCATGTATTCTCCGGGGGGGGAGCTGCTTGTGGAATCACAATCATTGTCTAGAATGGCTGCGATCAGCTCTGATGGCCGCGTTGTCTCATGAAATCAGGCAGTAACTCTGTGTCAGAGCTGTATTCAGTTACTGCAAATGCAAACCCAACATTTCCTACTGCTGCAGCTTCACATTAAAAGCATTCACCTGCGAACAGATCGGCTTTCATTGTGAAGCAATTACAGGGAACACAACGTTCTTGTCATAGGGTTAATGCTAACAGCAATCAAAAATGTCTCCACAAAACAAAACATGGTAATTTTTTGCATTTCTTGTCGATTAGTTTTAAATATTTCAGTCAGTCATGGAACAGTGAGGAGCAGCCACAGAGAGCTGTTAGATGAAGAGCTGCAGGTGACAGGCTGCACACCTCCAACTTCTCAGCAAGGTAATCAACTTTACTGTGTCCTGCTGTTGTGTGGAAATGTACTTGCGCTGTGTACAGCATGAGATCAGACTGCAGGTTCTCATGGAATAGAAAAAAGACCAATCATCAACAGGTATCTGTATTGAAACAATATGTTTGTCTGGCTGCACTGTAAACAGATACACCAGTTGCTCTTCCGTTGTATTTCTGACAAAGTAGTTGCTCGAGTGTTTGTGGCACCCAGACTGCATTTGCTGTTGCTAGCATATAAACCAGGACTGAAGTCTTAAGGATTATAACTATAATGAGGAGATAATTGTCTCATTACTGGCCCAGTAATGCAGATTTTGAGTCTTCCTCCCAGGTAATTTGAGCTTGAGACCCCTGCTCTACACAGTTTGTTTATATGTGGCTTCATTTGTTAATAAAGACAGTAAAACCATAGAATACAGCGTAATGCATATATAGTGAATAGCTCCCATGAGGGTATCTCTTATAGGATAATAGGGAAGGAGTAAAATATATGAGTGGATAGAAGCCAAGAGGTGTGGCTGGGAAGGAGTGATCAATGAAAGAAAAGGGGAGAAAGAGTGAAATAGTCCCTCTGATTGAACTTTCTCTAAGCTTTATTGACAGCTCCGTCCAGAGAAAGCTAGACTCACTAACATTAGACGTCTTGCCTCTCTTGTCCAGTTGGTTTCCTTTGGCGTACAGAAAACAGGAACTTCAGGAAATAACCATGCCATTTGCAAAGTCGCACAGTGCAACTTTAAATGATAACAGCACTGCTGCTTTGGTTTGTAGCGTTATGCCAATCATCTATGGTTTCTGCCTCTTCTTTGTAGTTCCTGCTGAGGTCTGCACACAGTCAGCATAGTTAGAAATATCAGGGCTCATTTTTCTGCCTTCAGAAGAAGCTTTTGCTGTCATTCATTCTTGTAGAATATGAGAAACAACTTCCACAGAGACAGATAACCCATCACATAAAACAGCTTTTGTTTGGCTTGTTCTGAAGTTTATTTCAGTAAGTCCTATTGGAACAATTTTATCAGTCCGTACATTATGATACACTGTGCTTCCCGCCTGTCAGCTAACACCAATCTTAAATGAGAAAACAGGTTGTTTTTCAGTGCCTTCCAAAATCACGCATATGAGCTTTTTCTGATCAGGTTTTTTTTCCCCCAAAAACACAGGGCGTACTAATCAAACAGGTGCATTAGGTTGGAGCCTATGTTTGCGTGTCATTTAAAACCAGGAGTAGCAATAGCCCAGATTAAGATTCAGAGGAGCCCAGACAGAGGCTGTGATAGGAAAAGCACCATGACCGTAACTTAATTCTAGACCTCTGACAAACTAAAATATCCAGAGAACTGCACTCTATTTTGTTATATAAAATTAAATAAACTAAGAAAATAGAGCCATAACCACATAGAGCTATAATTATATACAAGAACATATGTAATTACTACTGTGTTAAAGTAGAGCATGGAGTAGCTTGTGTTCAAATTTGAAGATGAAAATGATTGTGGTATAAAATCACTGCAGGATGCAACAGCACTCTTCTGTTTATAAGACATTTATTTAATGCATTTCATTGCTTTCACCTCAGTACTATAACTACAATATGCTATATGTCGTATGTTTGTAAATTTGTTATATTTCTATTGTGGGATATCTCTTGGAGTGTTATTTGTGAAAGGTTAATGTTTTTGTTTGGTTGATGTTTATGTATAATGCCTGTCGATGGCAGGGGGTTAACATGCCAGAATGTTTCCTTGGTTGTAAAAGAGCCTGAATGATCCCATGAGGGATGGGTCATGTAAATGGCCGGACATGAAATATAAATATAAAACAAAATATTAATTAATTCATTCAAGCTTCACCTGCTGCACTCTGAGCAGATGGACCTGCTTCTCTGACCAGCCCACAACTAGCTTATACATATTATCAATTCATCTTCTTCAATTCCCATTAATTCTATAAGTAATACACATTTTTCCTCTCATATAGAGTTGAACTACTGTCAAAGCAAATGCTGTGGAGTCAAGATCACTGTTATCTATGATAATTATGTTAAATCAAACATCCCACCACTGAATGAGTGTATGAGCTGTCCTTTACCCACAGCACGCATCAGGAGGGCAGTCCGAGCCAGTCCAGAAGCTGACTGTGTAATGAACAGCTGCCTTAGTAAATCAAGAGCTAATACAAGCATGTTGTACACCGCAAATTCCTTGAGAACTGCAGCCACTGTTTGCACTGACACTTTTAGTAGATCTAGTAAATCTGGCCAGGGATTGTTAAGGCATTTGAACATACGGGTCTGTCGGACACATACAAGGAAAAATGGAAGTCTGTATCGAGAATCCATGTCTTATATTTGAAAAACAACTCAAAAAGATTGAATATGTCTGGTATTGTTGTGCCAGACAGAGGCCGTCGTAAATGTGCTGTAACTCTAAATGATACCGTTAACTCTGGAAATGCAACAGGATACTGTACACAGCTATTTACCAAAAAAAAAAAAAAACTGCTTTCCCAGTAGCTCCTTAACTGTAAATAATACCCATTCCCCAGCTGAACTTAAGTGCACGTATACACAACAACTTGCACACGCACACAAATTCACACACACATAACTGTGAGCAGGTTACCTGGGAGGACCTGGAACAGGTGTCCCTCTTCCACGGGCGGCTGACTTGCCCCTCACCGATGGCACCTTGGCATCCTCCGAGCCGCCGTTCAGGTATGTGAGCTCCTGCAGCTGGGCCTGTCTGATCTCATCATTGTAATCCTGCACACAGAAAGACGGCGTGTTCACACACACACAGACAGCAATAGACTCGCTTTCAATTACACTGTATTAAATTTCGTCCTTTATCTCCAGGGCTACAGCCCCGGGAATATCTAATTAATGTACTTTACAGTACTGCCGTGACCGCTGTTCCTGAGGCAGCAAAACATTCCAGATCTCCCGCTGATAAATCCTCGGGACCACATTTGCCTTTATCTTCTTACACAGTCGTTTTTATGCCGCTAAATCAAAACACATAATTAATATGGAAAGAGGTCTATAATCAAAAAACGACTGATATGATTGTCATGTGTCCGCTCGATCAATAAATATGTTTCATGGCAACAGTGGGAAAAGGTAACAGGGAGGGGGATGGGGATGGGGGAGGGGTCTGCTGATAATTAACGTTGAGATGTAAATCATCATAGCTCTGAGCATTGGAGAGATCATCCATAATGAATGGAGGAAGAGTAAATAAGCTGCGCGCTGCGTGCTGCTGCCAAGGAGGGTTTGGCCCGTGCAGAGATTCCCTCCTGCGCTCTTTTATTCCTGTTATACCCACGACTTCCCACCCAGGATCACACACACACTAAATCAAACGCTTTCCACACACACTCCGACGGCCCTGACAGAATTACAAGTGCAAGTAACAGACAAAGAGCGTGAGTGAAAGAGCGGGTTGTCTCTGCTGTTATTCACTCGCTTCACTGTGGACAGGCTGAAAATGAGCTGGCCGGGGCCAAAGAGCAGCTGAAAAGAGATTCGGGGGGGAGTGTGTGCAGAAAGAAGGGAACATACTGGTATGAGAAACTTCTTGATCTCCTCCAGAGCGTGACCCATCCTGGCATAGGCCTCAGCCGGCGGGGCGAACACCTCGATGAGGACGTGCAGGTCTTCGTTCAGGTGGTGATATTTGGCCTCACCGCTCTGCCGTAGCTCTTCTTCCTGATGGTACAAAAGGGAAAAAAACAGTTGGGTATCATATATCTTCTGTCTAGGGAATGAGCGCGGGTTAGCTGTCACAGTCAGGAATATTTATCTTGCTTTTTGGGTTTTTTTGCATTTGGAATTTACTGCGGGGAGTTTTTCCATAGCTGTTACATAATGAGGTTTGATGCTTCGGTGCTGCAGAATTACAAAAAGACAAGAAAGAAAATATTTGTGTGGGTTCTTGTAAACTTATATGCCTGCGAACAGGAAATCCTTACAATCCTTTCAACTATGGCTGTCACATTTAACCGATTGCTTTTGTCCTCACACAGCTGCCTGTCCTCATAACAAATGTACAGATAAAGTATGTGCTCTCATACACTTCATCATAATCTACGTGATCACTGTAGCTTTATTCAAATCAATTCAGCAACTCTGGGAGGCAAGAATGTACTTGATACTGTTCAATACAGACTGAACCTAGTGCCTTACATCTAAACAATTATCGTTAATGTGGACAAAGAGAGGCTTTTACATATATTTCCCTCTTACTGGAGTGCCATGAGTAGTTCAGTAAAATAGTGAAGGACTTTAGTTTTCAGATAACTTGGTGGTTCAATATCAGTCGCTTAGTTTTGGTGTAATGTGATCATGAATTTTTAACTGTGTCAGCAAAATCATTTCAGACAGACCAGTTTTGCAATAAATAACAAATAACAAAGTCTAAAGGAAAAGACATCAGAGCACTGGACACACTGTACTGTACTGTACTAGGTGATTCCTGGGAAGTGCCATCTTAGTTTAGCGTGTTAGCATGCTAAGATTTGTGAATAAACACTAACCAAATAAACTACAAGTACAGCTGAGCCCGATGTAAATGTCATACGTTTTTGATCCACGTCAAGGTGTGCATGATCAGGAATTAATGGATGACGTGGAAGCCAGACCCGTCTGACGCACAGACACACGGTCCATTCATTTCTGATTATGGACATCTCGAAGGACATTATCCTGCTAATGTCTAGATCATTTACCAAAGAATATTAAATCTTATATGACAATATAAGACGACCTAGCTATCCAGCCATGTCATTGTCCCCAAATCAATATCAAGATTTTCACAAACAAACGACAGGCCACGTGTTACAGAAGTAGCCGGGCTGTTTTCTGTGGACAAGAGTAGCTGTGAACGCAGCTTAGAGGTTGAGACACTCAGTTTGGGAGATATATTTATGAGATATACTCCGATTCTTTTCTCATTCAATTGCGCATTAACTTATAACTGGAACTACTAAGTAGGTGTCCTGTATCAGGAATTAATGGGCACTCTGCATCAGAATCGAGTAGTAACCAAGACCATGGTATTAATTGATTCATCCATCATTATGGTGGAGTTTCACAAAACATGTGATGTCGATTGCAAGATGCTGATCAGCTTGTCAGGTCAGACACGTTGTCGCTGACATTGCCAATGAAGTCTGCTCAAAACAACTGCGGCACCAGACTTACATTTCACATGACATCTTTATTTTCATGAATCGCAGTCAACAACATAAACTCAGTAGTATCTCACTTCACTAGCTGAAGCAAACACCAAGTTATTTTAGTGGCTGATTCAAACAAACTGCAGGCTTCCACAACAACTCTGCCATCTTCGCTGGAGTTCCAACATCAGTCCAATCGCCTGTTGCCACCACAGAAGGTGTCAACATGTAGAAAGTTACAGATTTAAACAGGTGTATGTACAGGTATATGTGCAGGCTTAAAAGTGCATATTTGTTGTTAAGTTACTGCATATTCAAACCCCTGAAAGTGGAGCAGATGTAACTTGCTCCTCTCCACCTCTGCCTGCAGAAGCACTGTTCATTTAGACTGTTACAAAAAAATATACCATGTAAACAGTGAGGGACTGCACGGGCCATTCAGGGCCGACAGAAGCAGGCCAGTATAATGTTATTGATGGCAAGAAATAGGACAGCAAAAACCCCAAATGTCTCCCACCACATTACACAAAGGAAACAACAGGTTTGGCGTCCCAGTTTCTTCTTTTCAACAAAAAAAAAAAAAGTCTTCTCCGGGGCCTTTCCAATGGCGGCAACTTCCTCTTCCCCTTTTCCCTCACCAGCACCATGCATGCCAATGTCTCTGATGTCACCTAATTATAAATAACCTTCTTTTAAGAGTGCCTGTGGTATGTTAATGATATGTTAATTTCCCCCATAAATCTGTGCTTTACGAGCGGAGGGTTCCTTTGCGCGTAGCACCAGCGCTGACGGAGCTGCTGGTGTCGAGTAGGGAATGTAAGCAGGGTGTTAGAAAGAAAAGACTGCTTGCAGATCTGTCTCTACTTTTCCCTTTCATGTGTGCCTTGGTATATTTGCATGAAAAAAAGGTATGAAAAACAATCATTATCGTGTGCTTTGACTATCATCAGCCAATGTTAGCATGTGTCATCTGAGGACTTTCTTTTCTTCAAAAGCGTCCGTTCTTTCAATCCATCTTTCCGTCCATCTATATGGTTTATTTAACATGTGCAAATGTTAGACCTAGTGGAGATCTCATTTGGTAGGAAACCAATCTCTATGTGTGACCACATAATTTGCATATGATACTGTAGATATAATAGCAGCTTTCATACGTGGCTGATAAGAAGCATCCATGATCCAGCATAGTCCTATAGCGTCTAAGCAGCCCACGGTGGGAGATTACAGCTGTCTGTTTCTCATATCTATTGGCAGCATCTTCCCCCTGTTTAATTTTTTTTCTCTGTAAATCTGCTTATGAAAAGCCGTTCGTCCTGGAAACAGAAGACAACAAGGCTCTGAACTCAGGAACTCCTGCAGACGGAGCTTAGAGGTAAAGAATAATGTCAAGCTCCGAGCATTCGAATGAAATTAGGGCAGACACTGAAAAATGGGGGGCACATTCTATCTGACTAATTGAATGACATGGGGACACATCATACAGCCATCTACTGCGGTGATGAACTGCACTGTCAGTGTGTCTAAACAGAAAGGCCACATTTCCTCTTTAATAACTGTATATATGTATGAATTTTTTTGTGGTTGACTGATATGTGTTTATCAATGGCTGATATATAAAGTCAAGGAAAATCTGATCAAAGAAAAGTCATGTGTGATTCCATTATTCAATGCACTACTATCTAATATACATGATTATCTTAGGTATTAACATGTTGTTTTAGATGAATTTGTGTAATAATTTATGAAATACAAACATTGGATAGACTGGGTTATGCTGTAGATAATCCTTTTGACACTACTTACACAGTAATTCTAAATATTCTAAATACTCCACACATTGAAAAGAAATGGAAAGAAATATCGTGAGACAGTTAAATCCTGATACAAATATCTGAAGATTCAAATCGGTGAAACATAAATGAATTGTGATATCAGGTGTGGTATGTTTTGCACAATGTTAATACCCTACCTTAGAAACAAACAAAAAAATAATAATTTGAAAATATAAGAGAAAATATATTTTGTAGATTTCTGTCTGAGACAATCTTTTTAGTCTTGGTTTGTCTTCTCATCTCATTTTGTCAAAGAAATTGTGAGAAAATCACATTGTGAACTACGATTGTGAAGTATTGTGAATTGTATCAAATCTACCACACATGCATCACTTCCTCTGCATGTTTTCCAAAAAAGTCATAAAATCCTACATAGCCTGCTCTACAAGAATGTAAAAAATTGACCCAACACCACTACTACAGCCTACAGGAAAGACAAGAACAAAATGACAAGATAAAAAAGAAAGAGAGACCTCTCAACCAAATTGTTGAGTTTGCAAAAGGTGAAGGGACAGAGCAAGGGAAAGGGTTAAGACATTAAGACACAGTGAGTAAAAAATAAAACAATGAGGCAAAAACAATGGCCAACAGCTTCCGTATAATCAGCATCAATTCGTATGACAATGTCAATAGATTGACTTGTAAGCTGATAAGAACAATGAAATGTGTAATTTGTTGCAAAACCCTGTCACCCTGAACTTTATCTCCCATAATTCATATGCTTGCTAATGTAATTTAAATGATATCATCCCTAGATATTCACATGATAATGGGCGTACAATTTATTTACAAGCACACACAGCTAGGTTCAGTTCTTACACATACAGACCAGTCCCTGCAGACAATGAAGGTAGTTCTCCGCAGCAGCTCACAATCAAACCCGGCGTAGGTCTTAGCAAAAGTGAAACAAAGACAATGTGATTGTTTTGTCTATCAGGAAAATTAAAGAGGGAGTACAAGTCCCAGGGAGGAAAATGGATGAGTTAATCACAGCGCTAACGAGAAGGGGGCACGGAACACGGATGCCTTTACATCATCCTGCTCTGACAGCGGCAGGACAACCACGGAGCCATAACCAGGCCGGGAGACTATGACTCCGACAGCTCGGTGCCTTTCAACCTCTCTGCACTCATATTCATGTCAACACAAGATCAAGGACCCGCAGCAGCGAATATCTGAGCAATTATCCCAGCTCTTTGCACTGTCTCCGCCATATGTAAGAGCTTAAAAGGGAATGTCCTGAACATTGTACAGTTTTATCCTCCAACCCATCTATTATACTGTATTTTCTGAGTAGCAATACTACAATTACATTTTCATAAACTGTCATCCTCAGGGTGAAAACTGTATATTATCTCACTTCCTGTCAGTCAGGTGCTACCCAGATGTACAGTAAAGTATGTATTTTATATGAATAGAAACATGTTCTTCAAGGCAACAATGCCTCACTTCCGTAATAGCGAGTCAGCCTTGTTTTTACTTGACTTGAGAAACCTTGAAAGCCTCTTTTTGCTCTGCAGCGGTGCAGCTCTCTGACCTACACAGGGAATTTCAACTGCTGAAAACTATGATGACACACGCTGTGCAGCTGAAAACTGAGAGTCAGCAACCAGCTGAAGATAAAGTAGTAGTTTTGCAGCAAGGGTGTATCCCTCTTCCCCTTCTTAAAAAAGGAGGAAGCGGCACTGCACGGCGCGTCACCCCGACAGAAAGCTGTCAGTCATAAATCCTGCAGTGTGTTTGTGGGGACAGGTAAGGGCTGCCGAGGTCAGCACATCTCTGTGACAGATCTTTTCTCCAGGTACTCGAGAGGAGTCGACCATCAAAGACTATTGATCACAGTAATCAAAAAGAATGTGCTGTATGATAGCGAGGATCATCGCTGCCAACAAATCAACCCTGACAAACAGAGGGAGAGCAGAGACGCAGACGAGCCAAGTGAAGTCGATTTATTCTCTGTTAACCAGTCCGGTCTGCAATCAATTCTACTGCTAAAGAGACGCTGTTAGAGCCATTTATATCCTCTCTTTATGTACCCAGATGATCATGGATGATAGAAATTGTTAAACTGGATTGTATTTGAGCCTTTTCATAAGATCCTTAATTTCTTTGTTACCTTCCATTTAGGTTCATTATGAAACGCTGTTCTCCTGTCAGGTGACAGAGTTTATATGAAAACAAAAGTATACATATAGACACTGTTGTTTTGTGAGTCTGCACTGGATTTGACTTGTGTGTGTTTTGTTTATGAGAGAGAGAGAGAGGCTTTGAAGGATCTTAGATGTGTTTGGTGATCCCCAAGATCATTCACATTTCCATAAACTTTTGAAATTTGTTTTCAAGATGAAGCTGTTTTTCGAAAGCTGTACACCGTCCATCCCATGAGCCGTCAATCAAATGTAGCCTGAGTTAGTGGGGTGATCTGCTTTAAAATGAGACAAACATAAAGCTAAAGGTGTGAAGAAAAACAAACAGAAAAACAATGTTATTCAAAATGATGAATTTGCTCCATGTGATTGTGTTAAAGGTTTGCAAACAGTTGGATTTCTAATTATCTATAATATATCAGCAACATTACAAACAGCTTAGCACACAATTCAACAATGAGGTAATTTTAGAAAATTAAATTGAACAATCGAAACTAGATGATTTTCTTTTTATGTTGAAAACATAGATGTTAGAACTTGCAAAAAAAGATTAATTAATTAGTTGATTGGGAGAAAAATAGAAAAAAATTCACTGGATCCTGCTTCAAACACATTAATATTTTTTTATTATCTTATTTTTCTATGGTAGCAAAATTAATATCTTTGAGTTTTACACCGTTGCTTGGACACAACAAGACATAGGAAGATGTCAAACTCACGATGGGCATTTTTTCACTATTTGCAGAAGACCAAACAGTTTGTTTTCTTGAGAAGGAAGCCTAATCTAACTATTTTTAAAATAACAATCTGGAAAGTTTACAACTTTTCTTTAAAAGATATCTGTTCTGGAACATTGAGGAAAACTGGAACACCTTGTGTCAATGCATTCATCAGACAATCCGAATATTAGTTGGATTTTCAATTGGACCTCCTATAAAATGTCTCTTTCTTAAATTTAAAAAGCAGATCCCACCCACCTTCACTTCAGGCCGTTTTAAAGACTTACTGCAGCACACCAAGATAAAATGATGTGGAGGTAAGAGTGAAAGGAGCAAAGAGGGCAGGGAGAAAAATGGAATAAAAGAGAGGAGTGTTACCTTTTCTTTGTCTCTCATGGATCCTTTTCCGAGAATTGACATCTTTGTGAGAGTGTCCTCTTGTAGTCTCTTTAACGAGTTCCCGCGTGGCCCGAGGAGTTTGCCGACAAAGTTAAACTGCAACAGAGAGCGAGAGCGCGGATCAATCAGAATCTGTGTGTTTGAGATAAAGAGCAAAGGCATTTCTTATGTCAATCACACGTGGCTCAACCAGCGAGTGAAGTTAATGAAAACTTATCGGCAGTTTTTCCTGTTCGTGTCTCGATAGGATCAGTATGGGAGCATTTTGGAGATGTCTTATCCCAGGTTCACTGTGTCACCTTTTCATGGGTTATGGTTTCATGCTGGGAGAAGATGCTCTGCTATTGACTCTCTGTCCAAAAGTCTGCCTGAGCATAAAATTGTATGTACAGTAGCAAGGGTGCAAGTGGTGAGAACACAATGAAGTTAGAAGTTCTAATACGAATGCTATTACCTGTGTTTATACATATTTATATACATCTTGCAGATAACACATTTTAATGAATTTGGTCGTTTCCACTGCATTTTTCCAATGCATGCATTACTGATACCCACCCTATAAATACATTCAGTGTGACATCACATAATGTGTATCAAGTTACTCATATTTTATCTGCTTAATAATGCAGTTTTTCTCGCAAAGGGTAGTGTCCATTCTTAATTAATTCTTAAGACTAAAGGCAGACTTCAACTTGTAACAGTAAAATAGTCAATGAAGAGAATACGATTAGAATAGACTCTTAGAATTAGCATTAAATATGCAATAACAGTTAGGTGAGTAAGTAATACAAAGAAACATCTATGCATCTATGCATTTTGACTTTACTCATAATAACGTATGTCTTTTCAGGAGAATATAAACTGTAAATAAAACATTTTGGGTGTCATATGCCTTTATTATACAGATGACAACAGATACATGATGGGAAACAAGGTGATAAATATCAGGAACAATATGCAACAATAATTCCTGGCGTGAACCAGGGTTGTTTGAGTTCTTGGACTGCTCCTTAAACCCTAGACCACCAGGTTGCCCCAACCAACCTTAATTCACTAACATCACAATTTCCAATAATTTGTCACAGTCTCATAGTATTACTGTAAAGGGGCACAGAAAAAAATGGTCAGAATCAAAGCAGGGAAAGCCAAGATATCCTGAGTTTCAGTCCCTAGGTCAAGCTCCTATACACTTCCCACAATCCAACACTTACCTACATGATGTAACTTGAGTAATTTTCTTGATAAAACTCCCACCAGAGCTACAGAAGACATTATACAACTGTTTTCACAGGCAGTCAACACAGGGTCCAAAATTAACACCCTCAAAGCACCAAATGCTGGTAAATTTTAGGTTTGACAGAAAAATAAATTGGGGTCACCCGCCAGGTGGCCGGTAAATCATTTGGAGTCACATTGTAGGGCCAGGTTTACATTGCTGTGTTTTTTATGTGTACCTGCTGAGAATAATGTGACCCTCTTGATCCACCGTACCTATTGTGATGTCAGAGAATCAAATCAAAGCAGTTTACTAGTATTTGGCGCTTTCCACACAATGTCAATGTTTTTGCTGTTTTCTGCGTTAAACGTCATTAGAGACGTGGCGAAACATTCCCGGTGTGAAGCCACCAAAAAAACATTAAATTTTCAATGTGCAACATTATCATAATGTTCTGGTTTGAGCTTACACTGAACTTGACCACTTCTGGCACGTTGCCGTCTATCAAAGGCCTCCTGGCTTAGATTACTTCACAAGGTCACCTTTTTTTGCCATAAAAACCCAAATGTTATGCATTACTATGAGGCATGCTGGCTGCAGACACCCATCTTAGTCATACAACCTTCAGACAAACTAAACACAATTCCACCAGCAGCTGGAAGATGGTCAGGGAGACAAAAGGAGACCGATGCTTTTCTCCCCCTCTCCATGTTTTCCTTTAACAGTGAGTTATACAGCTGTCTCCCTCAACTATCTAGGTCATCAATTAGCTAGCAGGAGGTAAAAAAAAACAGCCAGTTTGGTTCTACACCTCACCTATATCTCTCCTGCCTTTTGTTCAGAAAGCGAGTGCTTATTAGGAGGCTCCTGCCAATTCCTGGGTGAGGGATTTGAGAGGCAAGCTTTAGTGATTCGCTCTAATGCAGTAACTCAAGGTTGGGTTTTTATCCTGGCCGTGCTGAACTCCAGCAATTCTCAGCTACTGTGTGTTCCTTCAACTTTTATAATTACCCCATGTCCTGTGACTGGATGTGGTCATACAGGACCCTATTCAGCCCCCGCCTCTGCTTAAATACCATGCCCCACTGTGTTAATTCCAACCCTGCACTTGCAAATGGGAATAAGTGGCCTCCTGCAAAGTTATGACCTTGGATTGATGAATATGTAAGACATGTCCACCTTCCTGTTAGAGTGTGTGGACTTTGATGCTAACTTAGGTCCATTTGAATGCTTCATACATCACCTGAAACATTTCAATACCTCTAGTGAAATTTGCGCACTAATTAACTCCAAATATATTGAGCAGGAAACAAATTGTTGGGTCAGGAAAATTACATTTAAAGTTATCTAGGCAAACAAGATAGGTCCTGCCTCTAATGAATTCAAGTTTACAAAAGGATCATCAAAGGAGACAGCGCTACCGGGGCGAACAGAGGGTGTCAGGAAATGTTTTAAATGTGCTGAGTTTAACCGTTGTCCTGCGCATCCATCATTTCCACCTGGATAGAGCCTTGATCACTGAGCTGTGTCGTGTCTTGAACAATGATTTGCAGAGCCAGATCACACAGCCGACTTCTCTCTGTTACTACAGCTTTTGTGCACCCATTCCACCTTTCTGACAGGTTGTGTATCTGACCATGTTTGTATGGATATCTCAGTCCTCGGTCTGCCAAACAGCATTCTGCACATCGATGGATAAAAATGCTTGAACACGGAAAAAAGCATGTTTTTCTGATCAAGAACAAAGCTCTGCTGTGTTCCTTTTAATATGATAGCGTAGGAGCCATATCAACTGTGCATACATAAAGACATAAAGGAGCAAATACATGAACATTGATGCAAACATGAATTTACTCTGCAACTTGTTTGACTCTTTGTGAAACCCGGGACACAATTAAACACTGGTTTGTTGGTGAGCTGACAAGAGAAGAAATGCCCTGTTTCATGTAGGAGATGCAATGTCTGTAGTGGGCAGTTTAAAACAGAAAGACCCAGAGAATCTATTGAATGAAAAAATGGTGGCAATACAGTACAGGACATCATTACTCTGTGCTAACCAACCAATCTAGCACAACACCTGAAGAAACACATCCTCTGAAACTACCTTTTAATTAAACATTACTTTATTTTTTTTGAATTTGTATGGATGTCAGATTTTGTAAACAATGTGCGTTAATGTCTTGTGGGCAGGTTTCTAATTCAATCAGTCTACCATTCTCCTCTATATAAATAATGAGTGCAAAATAATGAAACATAAATTCTTGCTGCACACACTGAATAGGTCAAGTTTAAAGTTTAGACTCAAAATGCCCTAAAAATAATTTTTTAAAAGTTGGAAGAGGAGCATGAGAAAATTACTCCAACAAAAATGTGAAGGTCTGGATTACAGACTGAGAAAAAGTGGGAAACTGCCCCAGGCCGCCAGATCCCCAAAGGGCCCCCACAAGCCCGGCTGGTTTGTGACAATTTGATTTATTAATATTTGGTTTGAGAGTAGGGTAAAAAGGCGCCCTGTTACCATGATAAGGGCCTTAATTCAGTCTAATAGTGTATTACCTGATCTTTCAACTATGTGTGCAAGAAATGTTGTTTATATACTGCTAATTTAACAGTGTAGGTTTTGTCAGTTGTAAACCTAGACCACCATTTTTCTATAACCTTAACCACAGAATTAACAATTTTTTTCGACTCAGTTATATGAACGCCATTTCTAGGAGACATTGTTGGAGCCTGGTGCCCTGTCTGATTGTGCTTAAAAGATGTATATTTCTTTATCAATTAATTTAATAAAATTACCACACAGTAAACCTGGAGCCAAAAGAGTTTATCATGAGAATACCATACAGAGGGGGACAGTCGGAAGGTTAATAGGAGCCCAGCAGTTCATTTTTGCCCAGACTCTGTAGCCGGTTAATCCACCATAGTTTAACACCACCGTATAACTTTTTACAACATGTTCTCATGCTAGGCATACACTATCTTGAGCCACTTTAGCATTATAGATAATTTACTGACATGATGTAATGGTATTTGTTTGGCACTACTTTAAGTTCCTGACTATTTAAAAAGAGATCATGCAGATTTGCTTCCTGTCTGCTGGACTAATACCAGTAAATGTCAGAGAGTCTAAATGTGGACACATCACCACCTGGTCAATACTTTTGCAGAGTCACACACATCTCCTCATATGGACAATCCTCCAAGTATATGAGCCTTACCGAACACATAACTGTAATCCCTGCTGTATCAGAAATCAAAATCAGTCTGACTCCTACTGTGATTGATGCTTTAGGGTTTTGCTAATGCTTTCGTTATCACGAGGGGATTATGTGATTTACAAAAACCTGCCTGGGCTCCTGTACTGGTTCATGTCATTAGACTGTGTGAGAGGATTGTGCCGCTGCTGTCTGTAATCTCCAGAATAAAAGCTGATGTGTTTAATCACAGGTTGTAGCCTGCTGCTCTGTTGTGGTGTTAGTTGCACAGAAAATAACTACAAATAAAATACAAAAAAAAGAATTTGAATTGTTGCACCATATTCAGCTGAAACAAAAAGAGTCATATGGATTATTAGAAAGACAGCCAACACAAGTAGAGGAAGGATGTATGATTAATCATACTTAACTTGAAGGAGGTGCGGGGGGAGGGTGGCAGAGAGAGGGGGGCTGATGCACATCTGATATCTTTTAATCATTTGCTGAATGTAATACTGCGAGCCTGGCGAAAGGTGTGCTCGCGGAGAGCCAGAGCAGAGTGATTGTGCTGAGGACAGCAGGACAGGAACGACAAGCAGAAGGATAAATCACTGCTCCCAGCGCAGAGAAAAGCCACAGTCTGATCTGGAAATAAACCAGTGGGACTCCTTACGCCTCGCTAATGGCCTGCGGTGCTTTCTGCCAAAAGATGCTTTCTGAGAGAAGGCCCACAGATCCGGCAAATGTACAGATGAGCGCTGATAGTGCATCCTTGTTCAAAAGGTGGGATATTTTTAGTTCCTGAGTAGGAGTGACATTATGTGTCATACTGCTTAAATCATGATCTAAAATCTTAGACTCTCTCTATTTCTGTAGGCAAGGTTTCAATTAAATCTTGTCCTCCTCTAAAAAAGCTACTATGTGAGCATCTATTTGTTTCCTGCAGAGCTTTCTCCACAGCACTGAAGTGTCCGTTGCACAGCAGAACTACCCCATACAACACCATGATATCATCACTCTTGCCAATATCTTAGAAAGTCTAAAAATGTATCAGTGCTGGGTATTAAAAATCATCGCCGAGGAACAGCTCCATTTTATCACAGAGAATCAGCAGCCTGGAACTTGCTGCGTGGTGTCCTTGCCCGCTTCATTTTGATAAAAAGCTATGTTTGTTGAGGATGGATTTAACCTCTCTCCACGTGCTCCTAAATGGCTGTTTGGAAAATGTCTGTGCCACTTCAATGCCAGAAGCCAAAAGGTGATGCTCGCAGCTCAGGAGAAAACCCATTGAAGTCAGACCGATCACTCTTGCCATTGCTACCTGTCAGATGGAACAAATTGAATTTGTCTTCCTTCGGTGGCTTGTTGGAGCTCTAAACAGCGTATTAGTGGCTCGACTTATCAAAGCTGTCAAAGCAAATCTGTTTAGCTGTGAACCTAGGAGACTCAGATCAGCCTCCAGATGAAACTACATACATACATACACGGCACTCAGTGCTTACCAAAAATGTATTTCAGCTCTTCATCGAGTGCATGTCAATACCTGGTGAGAATAATGACTTTCTTTATCAGACCCCCAAGAGAGCTTTGATTTGCTTGTTAGTGGTACATTGACTTTGATGTAAAAACTAGGCTAAGCTTTATAACTGTTGTTTCGAGAACCTTTCAATGATTATACTTCAGTTCTGAATCAGGTCCTAACTACACGTTGAAATACAACCACTAAAGACAATTTAGGTAGAAAGGTGCTAGCAGTATGTGTAGTATAACTTTCACTAACTACTAGCCAGAGCTTGAAATGATCACCAGTACTGAGTATCGGCACTTCAGATTTTTGTCCACATGAGTACCCTTACTTTTTATTGAGTACTACTACCTCTTGTGAGCATTTTTCCAAGGGGTAGACAATAAAAATTGTGAAATAATTTTCTAAAAAAAAATTTACTTTGATGCTTTGATGTCCCAAACTCCCCAAGGCAAGTTCAGTTTTTTGGACTTCAGTCTTTCTACAACCCAGCCTACAGCAGTGCTGGTGAGGTACTCCTGAACACCTGTGTAACTGTGTCTCTGAGTAAACACTAAACAAGCTTAGCACAAAAAAACAGCTCTAAAAAGTGTCCTTGTTAAAAAGAATGTCCTTGGCAAAAGAATTAGGGTTCAGGTTATGTGGTTAGGGTGAGGGTTGTGTTAATTTAGGGTACTGGCACCTTTTTTGGTCTGATTATGGCACCGATGCTAGAAACATGGAACTTTTAAAAAAACATAATTGAGCCTCATAATGCTGATTTCCCACTGCATTACCAACATACTGGTAAGGCAGAAGTGTTGGCGGTTAAAGCTAACAAAACGGTCCACACACTATTAAATTCTATATTTTCCTTAAAGACTAGCATAGTTAGGGAGACTCAAGACTAGCAGTTACCGCTATTGAGGTAAGCAATATATAGGAAAAGGCGGAAGGTGACACACGTTTTAGTAGACAAATTGCTCAATTTATTTATTTGGTGTGTAATGGCTAATGTAAGAATGTAACGATAAATGAAAAGGTTAAAAAAATAACCATAATTAATTTCCATATAATATTTTGTCAAAGCCACAGGGAGCCACTGGAGAGGGGCTAAATGCAATGCGAATGAGATAGAAAACACAACTGAAATCTTATAATAATGAATAATCCCGAGAGCTCAATAGTTCAGATTTTTCAGTAACAATTATTTTAAATTAAAGAGTGTTGACTGAGGATATGTTTGTCACAGAGCTTACACAGCTCTACTCTCTCTCAGGTTTTCCAAGCTACCGTAAAGTGTTAAATTAAATGCTGGGTGTGGACTAATATAAAACCTGGTACACAGCTGTTTTTTTACACCCATGCATGTCATTAAAATTTGAGCGATATTGAGCAGAAAAGCATGTTTTGGGGAAACTAAACCCAAATGCACCTCTAAAGCTTTGTTGGTTCAGTGTTCAACTCCTGTGCTGTTTCCTCCCCGCTGTTCTCTCAATCCACATCCTGTAGGTTACCGCTGTCCTTTCCCCTGGAGGGCTGAGGTGAAAACTTGAGTGATGTCCCCGTCTAAGGCCGGCCCTCTCACTTTTACACCAGCCTCCCCATCGTGCTCCCAGCGGGAAATCCCTGTCATGCACCGAGCGCATGGCTTCAATAAATGCAGTTGTCGGTGAGGGCTCCTCGTGGCGGGGGAGGCTGAAGTGCTCTCGAAGGTGGCAACAGTGTTATCACTCAAAACTGTTTCATGCTGAGGTCATCGTGAAGCTCGCTGTCTAGGACTCTATAAATGTGACTTATGTGCTGCTTTGCAATTGTACTGTCACCATACAAGCAATTATTTTTCATTAAAAAAAGACATCTAGATCTTGAAAGAGACCTAGAAGTATTCCATACTAATACATACACCAGGTATCATAAGAAATCCACTGCACACTCAAGAAAATGACATCCATTGTGAGATAATTCCTTTGAATCATATATTCATAAATATTCATTGACAAATTAATATACCGAGACATCAAAGCGTCATTGACCAAGGTCAGTGTAATAGAGAGGTGTGTGTATGCGGGAGAAGTGTGAGAATTACGGTTGTAACGTTTCAAAAGCTTAAACCATTCTTCAGACTGAAGGCAACATCCCTAATATAGTTCTACCCCAGTTCTGTCAGCCAACACTCTGCCTGTATGCTGTCTTCCAGATATGCTACATCTAATAACATAAAACATCAACAAAAAGTGTCAAGTGGCTGTTGTAAGGAATTTAAATCAAAACCAGAACTACTGTAGTTGGCTTCATTATCTATAAATAACCCAATCTAAAATTCTCTATCTGTGCACATCGCATTCTTGGATAAGTCTCTGGTGGTGGTACTATAGCACTTACTTTAGGAAACTGCTTGACTGGTATTAAAACTTTCTGGCCCAGTTTCATGTTCTTGTTGATGACGACGTCGATGAACTTCTCCTCTTCCTTCCCCTCATCTTTCTGAATTTTTTCAATCTCTAGAAAGACGGAAGAAGAAAAAGTGATCAGTCATTGTTAACAAGCAATAAATATACAAGACTGTAAAATATCTTCATTATCTATTAAAGGAATGGTTCAACATTTTGGAAAATACACATATGAGAAGATCAATAACACACTGTCTGTGTGTTATGTACGGAGCTGCAGTCAGGACATGGTTAGCCTAGCTTAGCATAAAGACTTTGGGCAGTCAGCAAGAGTTCAAAAGTTAAAAAATACAGGGCAATAATGTGCTGTAACCATTTGTTTTCATATTGGTTTCTATACAGGCACAATGGTACCAAACACGACAACCTCTCTGCAACTACGTGTTTGTTTTTGCACAGGTTAAACAAGATATATGACGCTATTAGGCTGTTTCTCCCTGCTTCCAATCTGTATGCTAAGCTAGGATAGCCATGTGCCATCTCAGGTACCGTACTTACCTAGAGCTGAGACAATTAGTTGATTCATTGATTAGTTGATTAAATAGATAATGAACTCAAAAACACTTAAAAAACAATTTGGTCTCTTCTGTAATTGTAACCTAAATATCTTTGGACAACACCAGCATATTAAAGACATCACCCTGGGCTCCACTGTGTACACTCATTTCAAAAACTACACAAATAATCAACTGACTGAGAAAATCATTTGTAGATTAATCAATAATGAAAACAAGTATTAGTTTACTGGTGTTATGCACAGATATGAGATTGGTATTAATCTTAGATAAAAAGGTCTTATACAATTAACGTCATCAAAATGCTTGTTTTTTCCAACCACTAGTCAAAAACTGAAGGTAACCAGTTTACAAGGATATAAAACAAAGAACCACATATGATAAACTGAAATTAAAATCTCATAATTTGTTGATTAACTCTTAACTAACTTATCTTCCTAAGCAGTAGTTTGCAGATTTGCTCAACCCCTTTAGGCCTTATAAACAAACCCTATTACTACTGTTTTTATTGACTAAGAATGCTAAATCCCTTTAGCATCATTCATCTCACCTACTGGCTGAGTCATCACCATTACACTTTGTAATTTAGGCAGAGATACCAATTTACTTGTACAGAAAAAAATGATGGGGAGGACACTGGTGCTTGCCCCTCCAGGCTACCGAAAATACTGGCTGTCACGCTTCCTCTTATGGGAGAGGTAGACTTTGATGTATTTGGAGATGTAACCTTGAACGTTTAATCAGATGGATAACATCTGTGTTTCAGTGCCAGGAAAATGGTTTTGCAGAGAGGGCAGCTGAGAGGTGCGGGGAGGCTACGACAAAGACTCCAGGCTAAAAGACCGGCAGGGGAGAGGGTGAGGCAGAGGGCGTACTCCATCACAGATTTATTTCTCATGTTTGAAATGATTTTTGAATGGAAAAAAATAAACAGAGCAGTCGTGACGCTTTAGCTTTACAGTTTACATTTTAATAAAGATTTTGGAAGATTGGTTCAGAATCAAATGTGATGGTGATTACATTCAGTCCAAATGTTTCAACCTGAAAACATAATAAACATCCACGTTTAAATACAGCATGGCCAGATATACCACAGAACCAGTTTTCAATTACAGTATAGGTCAGAATATAGCTGAGCATATCAGCACTGCAAACTGGAAACTATAAAGGCAATTGTGGTTTCTCAACAAAGCTACGCAGCATTACATTTGCAGAATGTAATTAAAACCCTTGATACGAGTTTTAACGAGGATAAAAGAAGTATCAGTGAGATGGAGATATCTTTAAGCTTCAGTTTATCCCAAGGGGGGCAGAGAGTGCACACGTTCTGAGAAAAGACAACATTAATATTAATGCATCGCCTAGCAACATGCCAAGACAGAGTTTCCTCCTTCTACCAGGCGCTGTCCTCAAAACATTCAGGCTGTGATGTGTTGGGAGATTGTGACTGAGATTGTGTTTCAACTGAAAATCGTCTAATTTCTTTGTTTTTAAGCTTACAGCACATTTTTTTCGACAAACCCACAAAAGAGTTTAGCATTTCGGGTCCAAATAAGCAAACAAACAAAAAAAAAAAAAACAATAGGGCACGGCAATCAATCAGCAGGTGTAATAAGCAGCCAAACTGCAGCTTCAAATGGGCTCACCCTCTGAACACAGAATCAGCTAGTGTGAATTAACTAGCCACAGTTCTTTCAAAAGATCTTGTTTGTGCCGTAGTTTACGAGGTGAAGTGAGAACCACCTCCACCTCTGAGTCATTACCAAGTGTTCAAAAGAAAGAGATTTAAACATGCATCACTGACACAAGCTCAATGTGTTGTTTTCTTTTTTTTTGTTCCCTTCTAGTTCAATGGGACCCCTCTCTTCTGGCTGCAAATGGATGGTGAATAGCATGATATTCTGAATTTGGCCATTTGAAAAGCACAACACAAACTTTTACTGAATCAGTGCCTCAGAATCCTGGAACTCACTGAAAAATATCGCTGGAAGTCTCCGTCTCTATTGTTATTGTTGCTGTCCTCTATGTGAATACACATCTTCCATTCAGCTCCAATGTTGACTTGGGCTACAGCATGTGAAGAATGAAAGAAATTCAGTGGGTTTATAGCTTTATGGTTTAAAGCCAACATATTTCAGCTGCACTTAATGCAGTTCTAGATTTCGAAGATTTCCTTAAGGTATCTTATGTTTGACCTTATGTGCTCTGGAGACACTTGGCCCATATATTGTTGAATATGTATATGTACATCCAGTTTCCCTGATGATGGCTGTTGCTGCTGAGACATGTTGGTTTTTCTTATTACTCAAGGGCAGCTATATTCTTTTCATTCTTTTGCTTCCATTTGAGTCTTGCAGGAGTTGCAAACTTGCAACATATCCTACATAATGTTTAATCCTTTTGGTTTCTTAGGCTCCAAAATACATTAATATGAATAATATTGAAAGGTAATTTTGGGCAATTACAGCTATTATTTTATTTTTAGTATTTAGTTTTGGCCATCGTTTGGGAATATGGTGACATCGCTACAGCAAAGTCTGATAGGACAAGATACATGAGCAGTGAGACAGCAGAGTGGCTGTAAACCAAGCCAAAGGTTCAGCTACACACAGTGCATTACCTAAACCAATTTATTTTGAGGTAAAAGCGAAATGTGAATAACAATCTCTCACAGGAAAGCTGTGTGCTCAAACGATGGTTGTATTATAGGGTCTGGATAACAGACTCAAAGACGGCACCTCGCCACTTGAATGAAAACTGACTGCCAAGCGCATAAGCTAAAAATGTTCTCCATCTTCTGGGTTTACTTTAGGGTGTGGTACCACTCACGTTGTATATATTTTATTTTTGACCAGGTGTTTCTTCAGCTTAGAAACTTTTTGCAAATATTGGAGGGTTGTCCGCGTGCCCTAGCTCGCTGCGACTTAGTCTCGCTCTCTCTATGTCTCTCTATATTCTAAGTTACTCTTTCAGCCAGATGCACTCTGGTATCTTGAATTTGGCACCAGCTGATTTAATGTGAATCACTACTCGGCAGTACCAACGTAATGAATGTAATTTAGTCGGTACTATTAACAGTCCCGAACTCTTGTTCACTTCCAAATTGTGTGGACCACAGAACATGTCATACATATCAGTTTTTCTCCGCCCATATCGAGCTCTCTTAATTCATCGCACATGGCCCAAAGAACTACGATAAGTGGTTAACATAACATGGTCAACGGACAGCTTGAGTACCTGTGGGTTTAAGAAAAACCTGTCTGATGATCTTACTGCTCGCGTTTGTTGCCATGTCAGACAAGTTCCCAAATCTCAGCAATTTACTTAGAACCAATGTTATTATAACTATTTGGTAAGAATGGGTTACTATGCTTCAAATGAAATGTTTGTTGAATCCCCCACATCCTTACAATCTCGCAATTGTATGCGGCTGTGTCCAGACATTTTCTTGTTTTTTTACTTTCCGAAACTTTTTTATAAAAAATTTTACCCACTTTACACAGTGATCGGCCAGGAGTGCGGAGGCGAGAAAGTATGTTGGATTTGAACTTCTCTCTCTTTCTCACACACCTGCTTTTCATGTGCATAACTGAGCGCAACACTATGCCTTTGAGAAGAGACAGTTGTTTGTTTGTACTTGGCCCTTTCTAGAACAGCAGGTTTTTCACTTGGCCTTTAAGTTTGGCCATTTTCAACAGCACTTTTGCACCGAGACATGGTCAGATGACACTTGGTTTGAACTACTTGGTTCCTTAAAGGCCAGTACACTAGATAAGATCCATTTTGTAATAAACCAGAATTATTCTTTGCACTTTGCAAAATACTATACTAGAAACGCACAAGTATACTATTTTAACACATTTGCAGATACGTGATTCAAATCAAACTGGAAGAATGAAAATGATTCAGCTGCAACAGCCGTCATCAGGGAGAAATGGATGTAGATACATTTCAACAATATATAGGGCAAGTGGCTCCTTTGCAGCACATAGACCAGAGAGCCAAATATAACTTCAAAATACAATATTACTTTCATTCCTTCCATTTGGATATCTGAGCAGCTGAGACATATTGGCTTAAAAAGCTGAATTATTTTCATTTTTTTCAACACTGTTGCGGATGATCATCCCAGATCAGAGCAATTAACTTGGTGAATACAAAACCACTAAAATAATACCATAGTTATAATAAACCGAGCAGAGAGCACTAACAGCGTCCCCCTTTTTCCAACCTCGTGTCCCACTTCTTGGGAGTTTTTTTTTAGGGTTTCTCCTGCATCAAATATGTCAATTTTACAACCTTTGCACACATAAAGTCCATAAAATGCGTCCGCCTGGGTGACGACACCCGACAACGGGACACCATCCCAGCTGTCTGCTTTTCTATTAGAAATGGATTCACTTAAAAGCAGCTCTGTGATTTAGGCCTCCCCATTTAAAATTCATAAGCTGGGTAGATTTTGTGGGATTATGCATGACTTCAGCTGCATACTGGAGAGTCGTGTTGATAACGGAGGCAATTGGGTCATTAAGTCTA